GGTTAGTCAGCAGCACTGAGATGAATTGGGAAACGGGGTGTAAAAAGAAATAATGTGCTTCTGACAGGCTCCGTGGCTTTTAAGTTGCTCTCATTCAGCCACTTCACAAAAAATTATTTTATTCCATCTCTCAGTGATGATGACATGATTGCTTTTGGGTAATCATTTACCATTCTGATTTTATTTTTTGAAGTAAATTGTCTGAAGTAATAGGTTCTTGGAATTACAGCGTGCCTTGCTTTTTTTCTTAGAACTTTATTTAAGCTTGTCTTCCAGCATTTAACCCGAGTCCCCTCTTTCGTTTGATCTTCTAACTTTATTTATACAACAGTGCTTAATGATCCTGCACAATGTGGGTTTTTTTCCCTCTCTGCACACCCCCCCAAATTCTGTCCAGTGCAGTTGACAGTACTTTTTATAACCTCAGCAAGGGGGCTGCATGGGCAATTTTCTTCCAACGTGACAAATACAAACACCCCAAACCCAACGCTGATAGAATCACTTCATCCGGTTGAAAGGAAATTTTTGATCTCTTTCAAGGTGACTTTCTCCACTGAAATATGGTAAGGGGCACGAGTCTCCCCTTCTATTTTTCGCTCAAGACGTGGCATTCTTTACATTGGCTCGTCCTGTCTCCTCCCTTCTCCCATCGCCCTGTGCTCTTTCCCAAACTTCCACTGACCAGCCCTTCCCAGTGGTGGGGCCCTGCTGCACCTCCATTCGCTGGGAGAAGGAAGGGTCACTGTTCACCCCCACCAGGCTGCAGCAAGCCTGTGTTTACTGAACAGGAACCAGACCAGTGGTGGAGAGAATTATAATCACACTTCTAAATACTTGTCAGATCAGCCTAGTAGAGCACTTGAGCTAAACCATGGATATTTTATTCTGTTTGAAGGCTGTATTTTGGTATCAACAAAAAAGAGAAAGAGAAAACTAAAGATAATTATTTATAAGTAGGAATGGATCTGGATAGTGGACTAACAGAGAGACTCTTCAGCCGTTAGAAATATTTTAGCGTCCAAGATGTGACTTAACTGGCAAGAATGGTCCCCTAGGCATTGGCTAGTTGAGAAAGCCATTGTATGCTGTGTGTGCCTGGCACTGTGCCTTGTGAATATTTTCTAAATAAGAATTGAATGGAAGATGATGTTTTTTCTTGTTTCAGTTGAGAAATAACTATCTACCTGTTGTTTGATTTGGGACCCTAAATGCGGTTGTCTTTGAAACATGGATGTCACTTGAGATCTTTCAGATACTGTGTGTAGCTCAGACTCCATTATTGATTGATACTCAGGAGAAAGACAGCCAGGCCAGAGGCTCTAACAGCTCTCTATAGGTTGAATGGCTTTAAATCGTAAAGAGGTTTTCTTTCAAAATTCCTAAAGCTTCCTGCATTCTACCCCCTTGCGAAAAGCTCAAGTTGCATTGAGGGAGGGAGGCTATGGATTAGAAAAGGTGGGAAAGCTGAGAACGGTATGGTGGGAAGCCATGCAATTAAAAAACTGACTGAAATTATTACCTGATTTCATAATTGACAGAATATTTAATTCAGATATAGTAAATTGACACACCTCTACACAGAGACAATTATGACTGACTGTATAACACCTGACAGAATCAATTATAACTGACTGTTGTTTGATACCTTTACACAGAAATAAATGAAACAGACATTCAGAACAGAGACGGCTGCTGCCTGTGTGCCTAAGCCTGCCTTAATTAAAATAAAATAACCAGTAGGTGATGTTAAAATGTCTTTGCCTCGTGGTTTCTAGTTAAGTGTGTTTCTTTAAGTCCAAAAGGGTTTTACAAAGAGTAAAGCCAAAAAGAGATTTTTGTTTTAGTGATACGGACATAAAATATCTGAAATAGAGATGGTTTCCTTAGATGGGAGACTAGTCCATTTTTTTTTCAAATAGTTCTAACATTTTATTTGATGAGTTGACTTTTAAATAAAATATTTAAGACAGGTTCAACCTGCAGATGATGGCCTACTTCATCCCATACAGAAAATACTATCACTTGCATATTTTGGGGTTTTAGCTTCTAATCAGTAGAAACCAACTTTTAAATTAGCAGTTCATTTTAGTGTCTGATAAAATTTTGTGTGAATAATTTCTAAACTTACTTGTTTTTCATTGTTTTCATAGGGCTGTTGGGAACAGGATATTTTTGGTAATTAGTATATAACCCTAAGGAATCAGCACATAGAGAGGACCAGAGTAAATAAGCTATAGACATGCGTTCCTCAAATGTGATTCTCGGGTCAAGTAGATTCCCGGTACCGGTATACTAAGATGAGTGACTTCCGGTAACACTGCAGTCCCTTAGAGTATGTTTTGCCGATGCGCTGGTGTGTAGGAAGAGCATTTCCTTCCCTGTCTCCGTGAAGTTTGAATTTTTTCTGATTGCTGAGACAGCGACAGCCACAGCAAGTGGAATCTCTGGGGACGGGGCTGTGATGGCTGCAGAAATTCTGGGCCTCTTCCCTGATGGCCTCTTGGAATCTTTTAACAGTTGCCCTCAGGCACCTGACCTGCAGCGCCCCATGACCACGACCTCTTTAAAAAACCAGAGCAGGGAAAAGGAATTGGGTTTTACCAGCCACGTTAACTGGTTCCTACTATTGAACAGCGGTATTTTCCCTTAAGTTCTAAAGTAGTGGGTGTATCACTAAAGGAAACAGGGTAAAGGTTTCAGTGTGAAGCCTAACCTGGATGGCCTAGGGGCCTAAAGTGGGGGAGAGAAAAGCCGTAAAGAAAAGGTGAACACTTTGCCCCTCCACTGCCGACCCCGGTGTGGCCTGCAACAGTTTGTGCAGTTGTTTCCTAGAAGACCTTCCATACATTATTGATTGAGTTCTCATTGGGGAAGCAAGTGGGAGCTTTTATCTGCATCTCGAACTGGCCTGGAATGGTGCCTTGGCCGTATTGACTGGCTATGGCATACGCTGGCGATCACAGTTGTCTTTTACGAAGAAGAGCACCAAGTGATGCTGGTTGTCATTCTAACTCTGCTGTGTGGCAGCGTAAATAGTCGCCTTTCTAACCAACCTGGTGGGAAAAGTCAATATCCCATCAGCAGAGGAGGTAAACACATCAGGAGCTGTGCCCTCTCTTCCTCCCCTGCTCCGCATTACCGCTGCTCTTTCAATGCGCTTTCCCCGTCAGCACATGCATTTGTGTCATTCACATGCACGGGGTGCCTGCTGAGGCTCAGGCCTGCCGGGAGCAGCCGCCCTGGTTGGGGCCATTGTTGCGTATTCCCAGACTCCGATAATTAGAACTTTCAAAGTGTCTTTCTATGGTCGGTTAACGATGCACCCCACCCCCTTCTCGCCTCTCTTTTTCCACCCCCTTTGGGCATTTCAATCCTCTCTACAAAACTTTTTGTTGTTGTTTGAAAGGCAGTTGATGTAATTTAGCAAAGGTTGTGGAGAACAAATGCAGATGTGTAGCTAAGGAACAAAAATCTTGAGAGTGAGTTTTCGTTTTCCGGGTGTTTTGTAGACTTCAGTGTTGCTCTGTTGTTTCAGTGGGGTTTCTCTTTTTGTTATTGATGTGCACTCCCTTCCCTGTTTCCTTCTCCATGCTTTCCTGATGCTTCCCTGTTCCTGGCGCTGGGCAGCTTCGCTCTCCCCAAGCACCTTGGCTTGGCCCAGGCTGTCCTCTGGGGGCCTGCCCATCTCTGTCTGGTAGCAGTGACACAGGGTGTAGAGAGGCAGGGTGCAAAAGTGAGCCTGTCCTCACAGTGTGAGCTCCAGTCTCTGGCTACCCGGATTTGCATTTCTGCATCCTGGATTACCAGCTGTGTGACCTTAGGCAAGTGACTTGACCTCCCAGTTTCCTCAGCCAGAAAATGGGGATTTAGAAGAAAAAAGTAGGCCCCTCCAAACTCTTCACAGCATTCCCAAGCAGCTTTGAACAAAAACTGTGTCATTTTAACCATCCTGAGCAGGGTTGGCTCCCCCGGGGATCCCCCTTGTCCCCAAAAGATCAGTCCTGGGTGTCGCTGCCTACTGCTCCTTTAAAATAACCATATATAGAGGTCACAGGCTCTGGGGAGAGAAAGGATCTTCTTTGGCTGGTAGTGCCTTTCTCCAAACCAGTCGGCCAGGGATGGGTGGATGGGAGGAGCAGGAAGCAGAGAGGGGGCAGCTGCATACCTGAAGTTCACAGATACGCAGTGTGGATAGAGAACAAAAAAGCGATCTTGCCAATGGACAGGTGTTCTTTAGACCGCCTACCCCTGCCTCTGTTAGCAGAGGGGATTTTGTGTAGCAGGGGGACGCAGACCGGAGGGACTAGAAGAAGCCGCCTAGGCCCAGCTGATCCTGGCCGTTGGCACTAGGAGGCCCAGGCTTCCTTTGAGACAAAGTATTTCTTGCCACATCCATATTTTGTATGCAGTTGTGTGCATATGCTCGACAGCGCTGTGAAAGTGGCATCTGCGAGTGGCATTCACCTTGCCTGCTGCACATGGGCGCGCACCTGCAGTTCGCATCACTAGAGAGTGGCCCTGTCCCCCGGTGCGCTGAGTCAAGTAGGTGCTGAGAAGTGGCGGGCAGGAGCAAGGATGAATGGCTTCCACAGAGGACTCTCAGGGCCTCGCCCCCCTCCCCTTGCTGCAGGGGACTGGCCCTCGGGCTAGACCAGTGACAGGACCATGAGGACATGTGAGCCGTGGAGCTGCAAACAGAATCTGCACCCTCCTCCCCCTCTATTGCATGAGGGGGACTGAATGGTCTATAAAGAAGCTCCCTGTGGATGGAGAGTACAGCACAGGGAACAGAGTCAATAATACTGTAATAACTATGTGTGGTGTCAGGGGGGTCCTACACTTATCAGGATGATCGCTTCATAAGTTTTATAAATGCCTAATCACTGCATTGTATACCTGAAACTAACATAATATTGAATGTCAACTATAATTGAAAAAATAAAAAAAATTAAAAATCTCCCTCTGAGACTTGTAATTCTTTTATTTTTATTTCTTTTTAGATAAATTGAAGAAGACTTTTCTTACCCCCAAAGTTTCTGATGACTACAGAAATCTCAAGAACACGGTAGAGCATTTCTTGTCCCAAAGTAGCTACACTGAAGTGAACCTCAGCAAACTCTTTGCAGATTGTGCGGTGAAATCCTGAGGGCACCCCAGAAGTAGCTGAGGTGCGGGTGGTTGAAAGAAGACTGCAACTCCTTCACCTCCACCATGGCCCTGACTGCTTCTCCGGCATCACTTTTCCGGCATCGCTTTTCCTTTGGGACTGCATCTTGTGTTTATGTGGATGTGGCCTGGGAGGACGATTATTAAAGGGACTGCAAAATGATTTAATCTCCCAAGCAACAGAGAAAACGAAAGCGGCCTTCCTATTACAATCGACCACGTACCATTGAAACATGACCCCGAAGCCCTTCACCAAGCACCTGAAGAGCTAGCTGCTTTGGATTCGGGACTGGATTTCCAGGGGGAGGGGTCAGTGAGGGGCAAGAAACTAATTGAGAGTGGCTGGAATGCAAGTGACCCCAGGCTTTGCCCCCAGGGACTTCAGCGGAGGTGCCCCCAGAAGGAGAGGCTCATGGGGCCTGGTAGGAGTGCTAACATTTTGCCTTTTCACACGCCAATTAAACCCAGGCTGAACCCAAGTGCTTCCCAGCCACAGGCTCCAGGAGTGGCTGTCCTTTTCAGTCTTGTCTTTTATATAGGTAGCCGAGGCGGGAGGTTTAGAAGCCTTGCACTCACTAAATAGATTAAACAGAGCTTACTTGTTTATTGAATTGCTGCAAAGTCCAACACGCACCCTGGGCAGGTGTTTTACAGTCACATTCCTTTTTTTTTCCTCTTTAAGTAGAAAATCCAGGTAAAGGTTTATACAATAGGAAAGCACATTTAAAATAATTTGATATCCTCTAACATTTCATTAAAAATGAAGCTGGGGCAAGAATCATTGTGTTTTATTCACAAAAACTGGGGAGAGGGATGGTTAATTGGCCCTGGTCTGTTTTTTCTCATTTCTTTAGAATAGTGCACTCTTTGCCAGAAGCTAAACGTATTTCAACATAACAGCCTTTCCCTTCTTATGGTATTGGTCAGATTATACTAACAATATTTCCCCCTTTACAATTATGCTTTATTTTTAAAACTATCTACCTATGTGTTTTTATAAAAGAAAAATATGCTGTGCTCTTTTACTTAAGAATAAAGTTTTCTAAAGGGAAACCCGTTGCAGTGAATCCTTACCAGGTACCAAGAGTTGACTAGAGGGGCAGCCAGGAATAAGGGATCCCCGTCCCAAACCTCAGCCCAGTTAGAACTCAGCTCAGATGCCCGGCATGATGTATGTCCGAATGTTCCAAGTGGCATTTGGGAGAATTTCTCTGGACTTGGGGTCCTTTAAGAGATGAAGTATGGTTTCTCATGTGCTTTGCTGACTTACACAGTCAAAGAGAGCTAAGCCGAGAGCCAGTGGTATCTCTTTTTGGAGAGCAAAGGTCCTGGCTCCTGAGAGTGGGGCACCCTACCAGAGAAAGGTCACTCAGCATGGAGCCTCGTGAAGGAATACTGGTTAAAGCAATGGAGAGGGTGCAGCCTTTTATCTTGCTTTGCCTGCTCTTTTCTCTCTCCCTCACCCTTCCCACCTTTCTCTGCTGTCTCTTATACTCTAAGAGAAATAGTTCTAAGTAGAAATACTTTGGGTTTAGGGCCCTGTCAGTTAATTAAATAATGCCTTGATATCTCAGGCTCTGCAACCTGTCAAAAGTTGGAACACCCAAGTTGCTTCGGGAAACTAAGGGATTAGTGTGGTTGTTCACTGCTGTTATTTTATAAGGCTATAGAGATAGTTCTCTAATGTGTGCTTCCGGAGCCCACGCCCTCACGTTGCTTTGTGAAGAGAAGGTGTGTTTTCCTTGATTTCTGGGACCTGGGGGTTATGGTAAATACAAATAGAGTTATTCTGAACTTGGTCGTCAAGGAACTCCAGGAGACAAATTAGTTCTCACTGGTGTGTTTCTTGTCTCTGCATCTAATCTAGATTGTAATCACTGTGAGGGCAGGAACCATGTATATAGCAAGTCTATATAAATTCACACATTTCTTAGAACAGTCCTTGAAAAAAGAGCAAATGCAGTGGTTGATGTTTTTGTATTCAGATCTGGAACTCCAGATTCGTTAAGAGGCTTTTCTGGGAGGCACCTAAGGATTCCAAAATTTTGTAAAATGTTGAAACTGCAGCTTTGATGAAGAATTCCAAATGCATCTCTCTTGGAAGATTGGAACGTGGCACACTCACTTTTCTCTGAGAAAGGTTTCTGCTCTTTGATTTGCATGGGTTGGTAGCACAGTGGGTGGGAAGGGTGCGGAAATGCCTCCCACTTTGTAAGGGGGAGCCGACCCAAATGTCTCCACAGGCTCCCTGGCTTGGGTCTTAAGCTCAAGTGCTAAAAGTGAAGGAATGAAACAAGCCAGGTTCACACTAGAGAGTGGCAGGGACTGTGGTGGACTGGAGTGGGCATATCTTGTCCAAAGGGGACATCTGCTGCTGGGAGGGATGGAGCCCAGGGTGGCCACATGATCTAGTCGTCAAGAAAAGCCGGGAATCCTGATATTCCATAAAGTTTCTGGATTTCTAAACCTTGACAGTGATTTTTAAAAATAAAATTTAAACACTGTGGGCCACACTAAACCTGGGCTAAATTTTATCGGCCATTTGGGAAATGGTACCCTAAAGAACCCAGCTCTTTTCAGAGCCCCACACCCCTGAAAAGGGCACTTTTCCTGTTGTATTTGGGGAGCAGGGTCTGCCTACATCAGGGTGCACATCTATCTTGGACGTGCTCACCCTCAGCTCTTCTTCATATAAAGGGGGACAGGGGCGACCAGAGGTTAAAAATCCTTTAAAGGGCATACATGATAAGATTTGTCCAAGAAACTGATGGAGTTAAGCTTGTGACTGTTGCCCAAGATATGCGAGCTAGTCAAAGTTCACGGACTGGAGTTTGGGAGAGGATGTTTAAGGGGATGGCTTCATTGCCTCTCACCACCACCCCCTTCTCCAGCCCGTACCACTTCTTACTTCCAACACATGTACACAGCTCCACATGCCTTTTCAAACATTTTTAAATTAGTTTGGCAGGAGATGCAAAGATAAGGAAACTCAAACCAAATTTCCCTATCTTGTGTCAGGGTTTTACAGAAAAAAACATACCAAGCCCCCAGATCCTCCTGTCAGAGTCCCCCGACCCCTCAATTCAGTGTTCCCATGCTAAATTTAAAGCCGCCTTGCCTTTCCCTCTACTTCCC